GAAGAGGATGAGGAGGGAAAAAGATGAAGAAGAAGAGGACGAGGAGGAGAACAAGAAGAAGAGGAGGAGGAGGGAAAAAGATGATGAGGACGAGGACAAGGAGGAGGAAAAGAAGAAGAAGAAGAAGAGGAGGAAGGAGGAGGAGGAGGAGGAGAAGAAGAAGACGAAGAAGAGGAGGAGGAGGAGGAGGAGGAGAAGAAGAAGAAGAAGAAGAAGAAGAAGAACAAGAAGAAGAACAAGAACAAGAAGAAGAGGAGGAGGGGCACTGGTGGACTTGCCTTCGCGGCTATGGGGGGCGGTTGCAACAAAGCGGGATGGCGGGGCGAAGCAGCTGCAGAGAGGGGTCGGTGGCGGGCTCGAGACGGGGCGCTGGCGCTTGTCGCGTGGCAGCACCCGACGTCGACGCGCATGCAGAAAGGCACGACGTCAACGTCGTGTGTTCCTTGCTGTAGCATGGGGCAGGCGGGGCGGAGGGGCAGAGGCAGGCCACTGGACCGGTAAAGATTTCAAAACGCGGCCGATTCCGGCCGCAGATCCGCAGATATGCGGCCGAAATCGGGCGCGTTTTCAAATTTGAAAACGGGGGCCTACGGGACCCCGTTTTCGTTTGCAAACACGCGGCCGATTTCCACCGTCGATGTGCGCCGATCGGCGACGGAGATTGGCCACGCGTTCTCAAACGAAAACGGGGTCCGGTAGGGCCCACTTTTTTTTTTCCTGCTGGCGGCGGCCTCTGAGAGGCTGGACGGGGACGGGGACGCCCAAAAATCCCCCGTACTGCCCCCCAAAATTTGTGAGCCCGATCGAACCGGGGGCCTGCCGGGCCAGTGAACCGCCCGGTCGGACCGGTAGGCTCCCGGTCGGTCGCAGGTCCCCCGGTCCATCCGGGGACCAGCACTGTTTTTTTATCCACTTTTTTTATCCGTATTTTTATCCACATTTCTTTATCCACACGAGGTGTTTTATCCGGACCGAAAAAAAAAGAACCACGGTCAAAAAAAAAAAAAAAAAAAAAAGAAATGAAACAGGATCTCCTCTCGCATGAACAAAACAGAAGGGAACAGAAATCTCCAAAGAAATGTTAATTGAACTTAATTCAAATTTCTATCAGGTAATAGAATAGTAAAAAGTACTAAAAACTACTTAAAAAACAAAAAAAAAAGAAGTAAAAACTACTAAAAAGTAGTACCTGCTACCACTGGAATCGACAAAATTTAAAAGCAGAGAAAGCTGTCATTAACTTATTAATAGGAGCTACTTTAATTTCCAATTAGCTCAGATTAGCTCAGATCAAACAACAGAGCTAAGCTACATTCCCGGATGTCTGGGGCACCCAGGATTTCCCGAATTGCCCGTACGGACGATATGCATGGACGTCCAGGCGGGAGTCAAATTTTGTGGTCCAGCACAAAACTACAGAGCCCGGGGTTTACAGTTCTTGGGCCCGGTTGGCGTTGTTCAGCCCGCGGCATCTTTCTAGGCGATGCTCAACATCCCCGCCACGTTGGAACCCCCTGTGCTCGTGCCACCTTC